CCCCAGCTCTCTCTGCTCTCCTGGCCATGTTGCTTAGAGAGGGGTGGCACTGCCCCCACACTCACTAGCAGGAAGCAGGATGATGCAGCCAGTGGGGCAGAACAAGCTGGAGTCATGTTGTTCCATTTCCTCTGCCACTGCTGGTGAGTGAAAGGGGCTGGTCCCTTGGCCCTACTAGTCCCCTGGGGCCACACTGGTCAAGGGAGGAGGTGGAGTGGGGGCAGAGCAAGGGCAGGAAGGGGCAAGGAGAGAGGAGGCCTGGGGAGGATGGAGGTTGTCCTGGCCCTTCCTCAGGCTGGGGGCTCACATGGTCAGTGGCCCTCCATGAGCCCCCTCACCAGTCACCCCTGTCTCAGTCCCTCTTCTTGTCTGTCTGTGGCACTTAACAGTCTAGTCTCCTGTGGACTGTAATACCTTGGTCTCATGTCAGTTGCTGGGTTTACTATATCTGGAGTGGCCTGGGATACAGGAAGTCAGGCAAGTTGATGTGCTGGTCCCTTCCAACATTCAACTCTACAGCTATCTTAGTCACTTTTAATGATTATTCCTTTTTAATATTTTTCTATTAGTACCCCCACGAAGTCAATGGTACCCCTATGTATCTCTATGAAGTGGCCACAGAATCTGTTTGTGAATCAGCTGCCAGGCTTCTCTTTATGAGTATCAAATGGGCCAAGAGTGTTCCCGCCTTTTCCACTCTGTCATTACAAGATCAGGTAAGACTTACCCAATGAGTATTTGTCCACAGCCGGGCCACAAGGGTCCACCACATTCAGATCTAGGTCACATTTTTTTGATGTCGTCCATCTCTAAAATAATATGTTGTTTTAACAGCAATTTTCATAATCTGAAATAGGTATTCTATGGTGCAGATGAAACCCAGATAGGAAATAGATGTTGCTATAAGTTACATATTATGAGAGGCACCATGTTCCAGTGGACAAAGCACAGGGCAGGAAGTCAGGAAATGATGAAGTCAGGGATGAGATCCTAGCCCCACTGAAGTAAATGGCAAAGTTCTTGTTGATCTCAATGGGGCTAAGAGTTCACCTCCCAGTTATATTCCTGGCTCTCCTATTGACTTTTAGTCTGAACTTTGGCAACAAGCCATTTAATTTCTTTGTGCCTCAGCTTCTCCAGTTGCAAAACACATATGCTGGTATTTATTCTCCTTTGTAAAGTGCTTAGAACTCTGTGGATGAAAAATGCACTTCAGTAAACATTTTTACCATTTAATCGTACTATTGCACACTGGCCAAATGTGTGTGACACTGGCTTCAGTGAAGTTACTCCAGATTTACACCGATCTGACTCAGAGCAAAATTCAGCACACTCTTTTTTTCCTAATTAAAATCCTCCTTAATTTGTCTTGTTTTCCTCAGTGACAACTTGCCTTTGCCGTAAGTGATTTGTGAGTGAGCCATAGTAACTAAAGCATTCTTAATTACTTGATTTTTGATGAGGACATGATCTATTTTATATTATGCATTAGTTCTGAAAAGTTATTGGACAATAATGAAAGGAATAAACTACACAAAGCTCTAATCCAATCTAATAGTTCTATATCAACGAGTTTAAGTTTATAATATAATAACTAGAAGGAAAAGTCATACATGAGTGTAGAGCTAATTGTATTAAACTCTTATATTCGTTACCAAATAAAATATAATATTTGGTGTGTAATATGTTAGTGTGAGTACATAAATAAATGCATATTGTGAGCAGAAAAAGATTTTTAGAATACAATAGAGTTTTCTACCTAAAACGTATCACATGCAACACAAAAAGACATTTGTTTAGATAAACGGAAAGGTCCCTTTTCTAGAGATAGCCCCAGATTTTGAGAGCCCTTCTGTGAAGTTAGCTATGTGGGACCTCATTCACCTTTCTCTGTGTATTGTCACCAGCAAATCAGGTATACACATTCAGGGCCACTGAATGAGTGGGATCTTAAAGAGACTGAAGAGCAGGCATAAGCCAAAGGCTTAACTGTAAACAAGGAACAAATGACAGGAAGATAATTGGAGTGGGCCCAGCTCATCAGCTGCTGCGTGCAAGTCATTTCTGTCCACTTCAAATACAGTATCTGCTCTGGAGTAGGAAGCTGGATGAGGCTTAGGAAGGAGGTGCAGAATCAGGCCTACAGTGTACTCTATTACTCAGACATTATGGTTTTGCTTTTTGAAAACTGCTATGGTTGCTAGAAAACAATCAATCATAATGCCACAATGACTAAATTCAGCCATGGATTGTTGACACCCACAGCAGCAATGACTAAATTTAGCCATGGATTATTGCATCCACCTAGGCCAGGGCTAAATTTGTTCTAATATGTAAAAATTCCCCCTGATCATCCCGCCAGGAAGAATGGGGCTAAGAGAGTGGAGGAAGGAAACATATTTCAAAAGAAAGGCCCCTTAATATGGAAGAAATGGTTAATGCACATTCCATATCATTGAACATTTCCCATTAAACTCACAGAAATCAGTTTATTCTGTCATCTTAAATGAACTAGCTACATACTTGACTTCCATTTCAAATGTGAGGTATTAGTAAATTATTAATTTAAAATGTATTAATTAATTACATCTGTTTAAAAGTTCTAACAGCATCAACTTCACTGTTCTTCCCTTCAGGTTGTAAAGAAGGGAAGGAGTGGTAAAGATTAGACCTGGATCCACATTTCTCAGAATTCAGAGGTTCCAATATGGAACTGTGGGCTGAACCTTTATGATTCCTCCACTGCCTCTCACATTCAGGAGAATCTCAAGGACAATAACTCTCGTTTTAATAGTATTATCTCCTAGCTAGAGAGTTAGATGAGTCTTACAATAGTACTAATGTTCAATTTAATTTGATAATGGCATAGATGTAAATATCGGAATTTCCTCTGCATGGCTTTGCCATCTAGCTGAAGAGTCTAAAATCTTTTCCTAGGATCTGCTTTCATTTTGAGCATCTTGAGAAAACTTAAAATGTTATGATTCTAGAACCATATGTTACTTTTTTTATTTGAAAAATGTGGACCCCTTTCAATTAATTAATTAATTGAAAATATTTTTACTGCTCCTTGCTATTTAAAATATTCAAGGCAGCTTAATTTAAAAAAAAAACCACAATAAATAAATGCATATAAAATAAAATACAAGACCCAAAAGGGAGGGGGAAAATAAAACCTGCTAAAACACCTTAAGAGAGGAACACACACATGCCCCTAACACCAATAAAAGCACAAGTAAAAGGGGTGGCCTTATCCTGGCACCGAAACAGTGCCAACGTTGGCACCGGGGCAACTGTCCTGGGGGAGAGAATTCCATAGCCTAGGAGTAAAAGTTGAGAAGACACTGCTCCATTTAGATGTCAACCGTATCTTCATAAGTGAAGGAACATGGAGCAGAGCCTCCCCAGCTGACCTCAATTCCCGGGTGGGTTTGTTTAGGAAGAGATGGTTCTTCAAATACCCTGGTCCCAACTCATTTAGGGCTTTATAAGTCATAACCAAGACCTTGAATTGTGCCCAGAAACATACCAGAGCACCAGCAAAATACAAGTAACCAGTATCAGGTTATCCTTAGAGTCTGATTCTGAAGCAGATGTAAGTCTGTAGAAAGCCTGGGATTTTCTAATTTCTTTGAGGAATGAAGACCATTTATAAGCCCTCACTAAGGTCAGCATGAACTGTTCTGAGAGAAGGCTTTAAAGACACATTCATGGGAATGAGGGGAGCCCTAGCTATTTGGAGGAGAAGGTTCCTTTAATTTCTAAAGTCTTCTGACTTTAACTGATTGATAGGAAAGAAAACAGGCTATTGATATGTTCCAGGAATCTGCATGAACAAGTGACATAAAGGTTTATAACAACCAAATAATGGTTAAGAATCAATTTATGCCACATCACATTCTGCATATCTAAATGAAATATCACTTCTTTATAAGGCAGTAAGTATCACACAGAATGGCAGGTTAATACTCGTCAGGGTTCAGTGAAGTTAAGTTCTGTTCCTCTCACCGGAAATCTGAGATGTGTATGGCATTTCAGATAGTTTCTTATCTCTGGGCAATTTGTTACTGTAAAAGCCAATGCAATTAATTAAAACCCACATAATGTACAAGCAGAACTATATATATTTCCATTTCAGTCACAATTTCTTTATCAGAGTTGAATACAAGCTCTGCAATGTCTATGGTACCGAAAGGTGACTGTGATGTCATGACGGTCATAGTTCTGTAATGCAGTGGTGTTGGTCCCAGGATGTTGGAGAGAAGGTGGTTGAGGCAATATCTTTTACTGGATCTAAAGGATATTACCTCATCCAGTGTTTAATTTGTGCTAGTGCTAGCCCCGCTCCCACTAGGCTTGGCAGGCCATAGCTCCAGAACCTCTGGGCTTGCTGCATCAGTTATGAATGTAAAAAAAAAAATTGCTTGAGCCCTGGCATCTCTTTCATTACAAATTAAAAACTGGTCACCCACCTTGTCTCTCTCTAGTAGCTCCGTAATGGCTTTTGACTCTGGGAGAGCTCTCTCTGAATCTAATGAAGACAATATGGCTTAAAACACCGGATATTAAAAATTAGAGCTCTGATAAGAAATTTCCAACTGTTGGATGATTTCAGTGCAACTGACATGCATCCCTGACACATCTGAATCTAAGACAAAACAAAATTCTTCTGAAAGAATTCTTATTTTTCCATGTTGTAAAGGGGCCTCACTAAACTCAATAGTTCCATGTGAACTTGCTGTGTTCCCAGTAACCCCTACATTTCCCAAATCTGTTTTGTGTGTTCTCAGCAAAATCTTTGACCAACATAGAATCATAGAACCATAGAGCTGGAAAAGACCTCAGAATGTCATCAAGTCTAGCCCCCTACTCTAGGCAGGACCAATCCCAACTAAATCAACCCAACCAGGGCTTTGGCAAGCCAAGACTTAAACACCACTAGGGATGGAGACTCCACTACTTCCCTAGGTAACCCAGTGCTTCATCACTCTCCTAGTGAAACAGTTTTTCCTAATATCCAACCTGGACCTCTCCCACCACAACTTGAGACCATTGCTCCTTGTTCTGCCATCTGTCACTACTGAGAACAACTTCTCTCCATCCTCTTTGGAACCTCCCTTCAGGAAGTTGAAGGCTGCTGTCAAATCCCCCTCACTCTTCGCTTCTGCAGACTAAACAGACACAACTCCCTCAGCCTCTCCTCTTAGGTCATATGCTCCAGTCCCCTAATCATTTTGGTTGCCCTCCGCTGGACCCTCTCCAATGCGTCCACATCCTTTTTGTAGTGGGGGGCCCAGAACTGGACACAATACTCCAGATGTGACCTCACCAGAGCCGAATAAAGGGGAATAATGACATCTCTGGATCTGCTGGCAATGCTCCTCTTAATGCAACCTAATATGCCATTAGCCTTCTTGGCTACAAGGGCACACTGTTGACTCATATCCAGCTTCTCATACACTGTA